GATATTTCCTTAAGATTATGTATACATAGCCAAAAACTAGTATAATCATAATAGTTGGAGATAAAGAGAAAGCCAAAAGTAACAAACAAAACAAAAGCCAACATCACCACAAAAGCAGAAGCAATACAACAGCGTGATTGAAAACACAACCTGTGAAAAGAATTCCTAGGTTCAAGTTTCAGCTCTACCACTAGTTGTAGGACCTTAAACAAATTACTTAACCTCTCTATGCCTTCACAGTGCATTTTCTCATCTGTAAAATGTGATGGTAATAGTGCCTACTCATAGGGATATTGTAAGGTTTGAAAGAGTATTATACAAAGTGGCTTAGAACTGCTCTTAGCACACAGTGCTATATGAAGGGTATTCAAAAAGTTCAGGGAAGGATTCATATTACCTTTCAATACTATTTTTCCATGAACTGTTTGATGTACCCTTGTATTTGTATACATAGTATGGTAAATATTCATAACATCAAAAAGCCAAGATCATGAATGAATGATGAAACACCAAAATCATTTCCATGAAAGTCAGGAATAAGAAAAGAATATTCATACTCAACACTACTAATGTTTGTTCTGAAAACACCAGCCAAGTGGTCAATCAAGAGAAAAACAAAAAAACAAAAACAAAAATTGAAGAAGAGAAAAACACATTTTCTAAATACAGAAAAATAATAGATGGAATTATCATTATTTGCAGATGATGAGATACTATTCCTGAAAATATCAAGATAATCAACTGAAAACCTACTAGAAATAAATAGAAATTTGCTAAATCTATTTAACTCATTTACTACCCGAAAGTGATATTTAAGAGAAAAATATGAAAGCACTCTCAAAATGGTATAAGCTGGGAGCCTGAATCTCTCAAAAACTCACCTTGGCAGTATAATTCTGGGGACTCCCATGTGCCCAGGGCTGTACAGCTTGAAATTGTGTCTTCTGGGACACTGAAAAATCCTTCTTTGCAAGTGTAATGAACCTGGCTGCCCAGCCTGGAAGTATAATTTCCTACAATATAGCCATCTGGGACCTCAGGAGGGGTGCCACAGTCTATTTCTGAAAATAAATTAATGTCAAATTCATTACTATGTAAATGTAAATTTTCAAAATTCATAATCTCTCTCCTCCTCTACCTCATTCCCCCTACACAGCCCCAAGCCATATTTCAAGTAGGCTATTTCATTTCACTTAACTTCTGGGCATGTATCCAATGATTGTCATTATTCGATCTCCTGGCCTTCCATAGGAAATAGCATCCATACATGCACAAAGCTGACAGAACTTGGCAATCAACCCTCAGCAATTCATAAAGAGAAACTTCATTCAACAAAGTGAAAATGTTGAATTACAAAATACTTTAAGATATTTGTACCTTTATAATTTTCAGGGTCACTTTGGAGATGCTGAGTCCTTACCAGATCAGCTATGGTTACTATCTAGCATAGTGGTTAATATAAGAATATATGTTAACTGCTAAAAATCCCTGAAATTTACTAATTTTAGCTTTTTAAACATGGCCCTTTCTATCTTCTTTATTTATTTATTTTTTTGCAGCTGGCCAGTATGGGGATACGAATTTATGTCATTGGTGTTATAAGTCTGAGCTCTAAACAACTGAGCTAACTGACCAGCCCTCTATTTTGATTATTTCATAGGTCATACAAATGTGCCAAGGAACAGATAATCTCTACCCACATCTCCAACACAGACCTACAAACACAGGCCCAGAGCAGGGGAAAGGCACCATCAACAGAATCTCACCTTGAGAGGCTGCATTCTTTGGCAGAAACCCACCTGTGCATGACGTGGCATCTCTGGTCGGGTGGAAAGGCTCAGGCCCATTCTTTGGCAAGTATCCATCCATACAGTAGCATTCAAAGCTCCCATGAGTGTTTGCACATCGTCCTCCATGCCTGCACAGGCCAGAAACTTCACACTCATCTATGTCTTGAGAACCATCCCAAATACAAGAAAAGGAGAGAAAAACAAAAAGAAAAAAAAAAAGGGTGGGGGAACATTGTGACAGTCATTCTCTCTCATTCTCGATCTACCCTTATAAATAGATGCATTTGTTTGCAATTATATCATGAACTTTATTTTACTCCTTAAGGGTTCTTCACATGTATCCTTCACATCCTGCGCACTGAAAACATAGGAAGCGCTCAAGAAATACTGGTCAATGTGTTCTAGGAATTTATAAAAACCAACAACCTTCACCAGCTCCCTAACACCCCTGTAAATGAACTCAAAAAAATATGCTAAAAAAAATCCAATTCCTATAAAATGAGAAGGGTCCCAAACTCATACCAAAATGTCCAGAGTTTCAGATAAAAACAATTTACACCAGAGTGAAAAATTCTAGGAATGGACAAACGGCTTTCGAGCTCATGAGCACAGGATGGGTGGCAGGTAGTAAAGGGGTAATTAAGAAGGGTCTCACTAATTTTACCAAGATTAGAAGGGCTCAAAACAGGCTTG